GCTGAAGAGCTGCTGGATTCCAAGGAACTGAATGGAGGGGAAGACCTTCAGCGACTCACTCAAAGCTGGGTTCAGTTTAGAGTTAGGCTGCCTTATGGGACAAGTCAGCCTGGACCTGTGATACTGTTTGAGACTCCCAGTCGATTTTCAGTTTCGCTTAGCTGTGTTTTCAGCCTGTTTGAACTCTGTAGTATTTACCATTCTTTTTTTCTGACCATCTTCAGGTATCTGTGTGGTTGGTCTATGCTCATGGAAACTTAGTAACCCATAGAAAATAGGTCAGGAAATCATGTTTTGCACTGCACCAGAAAAGCTGCGTAACAGATGCAAGCATAAAGTGCGGATCTGCTTTGGCAAACAGTACCACGTGTGCGTAACTGATCCCACTCACCAAAGAGGCTCTTGGGCTTTTAAGGCAAGGATGGCTCAGAGAGGAGGTCTCCAAGCCTGTTCTGTTGCTGTACCACAAGCTCTGTAACTCTCCCACAGGGTAAGAGTAAGGTGCCAAGGGTAGAATAATTTTTACCTTCTCCTTTCTGAAGAGTCTTCATCTTCTCTTCAAGCTCAGCAATCCTCCTATCCTTCAGGACCAGAAGAAATAACGACCTTGTTTAGTTCCTTGGCCTCCAGGACCTTGAGGCACAGTTTGTATAATTAGTCCTGACTGGGTGAGTCAGTGGTGCACGTACTCTCACTCCACTCAGAGACAAGCAAAATAAGGGTCAGAAAGGCAGTGTCACCTCACAAATACCTTAATTAGACTCAAATGAGGGGTGGGATACAAATACACTGCTCCAAGACTAGGTGAGGCACATGCTGACCTATCTCCCCCTCCTCCATCTGCACGGACTCGTGCCCCTGTGCTTTCCTGCTCAGGCACAGCTCATGCTCTGGCCTGCATTAAGTGGCTGATCTAGAAATGAAACCAGCATCTCTTCAGCCACCGCCTTAAAACCAAAAAAAGTAAGGGTATTTATTCTAAGCGGCAGTGATGCAAAACGGTCTGCTCCAGGATGATGCTGCTGTATAAGCAGCTGTTGTTTCAGAAAGCAAAAGGAAGACAAGGAAGTGTCTGAAGCCAAACAGCTGATGAAATCAGTGAAAGGGTGCTGAGAGTCTTTACTTTAAGAAGTCACAGCAGGGACTGTCCACTCTCCCGCCCCAAGGACTTGTACAATTGCACTGTTGCTTTGAAATGGCTCGTTTGTGTAATTAGTGGAGCAGGCTACAGATTAACTTGTTTTAGCCCAAACTAGGTCTGAGCAGATGTAATACTGCTGTGGCTCCAACCGTCAAAGCAGGGCACAGAACAGGTTCAGTAAGGGGCAGGATTTTTACCTTCACTTGGATTTCTTGTGCTTGTTTCTCTATTTTTTGTTCCAACAGAGTGATTTTTTGCATCAAGGAGGACATGAGGTCCTTGTCAGTGCAATCTGCGCCTGAAAGCACAAATAGGTGTTACCTCTCTAAAATGGCAAGCGGTATCAGAGGCTCATCTGCACCGTAGGAGACCCCACATAAGAATTCCTGTTCTGCCACAGGAGGTAGGACAAGGGTTCCTTTTGGGGGTACTGGGCAGAAATCCCTTGGCTCCTGACTGGTTGGGAGATGGCTGTGTCACCGACAGCATGCTGTGTATGCAAGGGGGGAGCACAGGAATTATCCCTGCCCTGGGGTATTGAGTCCACCAGCTTGTCACTGAGAAACTGTGATGGCCCAGAATCCCCTAATCATTGAGGGACTTTACCCTGCATATTCTTTTTCAGTGTTGTCCCCCTTGAGCAGGAGGGGAGACTGCCTTGCACTGGATTCTTTGTCCTAGGAGACAGGCTGTCATCTTCTGAGAAGAGGCACGAAGAGCATGAAAGAAAGAAAACAGGTCAGCATTTTGGATATGACTTCTCCAAAAGCAGGTAAAGAAATACTGGGGTTATGCTGAGGGAAAGATTTTAAGCAGGGTGGCCCAGACCACTCAATCCCATAATCACTCTCAGACTAATGAGTGTATGTGGGGGCTTGTTATGAGCCAGAACCCAAGGGAAGATACAATCTCAGCAGCTGGGAAGAGCAAACACAAAATGGGGCTTGCAGAAAGACACCATGACACTAGTGCAGAGCATCCCACACTGCACAGCGAGGCAGAAAGTGGCAATATTAAACTATTTTAACAAAAAGCACAACACTCTGGGATTAACAGAAGCAGCAAACTTCACTGGGAGTGGAAAGGGAGTTTTTGCTCTAAGATCTAGTAAGAAGGATGTGACCTAAAATGGAATTGTAAAAATAGATGAGGCTCTAATGTGCTCTAGGGCTTGCTGAGGATGTGGAAACCTTTTGTTACTTATCTGATTTTGGACACACGTAGGAGAGAAAGAGCTACAATCATTGCAAAACACGTAGGACGGTAAGAAAAGCTTTACCAGTGGGGGCAATGAACTTGGACAGCTCTGCCCTTTCAGTGAAAATAAGAGGGGATAATATGGAAAAATAAAGCATAGGTTCATTAACTTTAGATTTGCTGGATGGGCAAATTTTTTTTAATTGTAATTGAAAAGGCTGTCCAAAAAAGCCCAAATTGTACACTTTTCTCATCAGCTCATCTTCCCAGTCCACCCATCCTTGCTTTCTGGGCAGAGTGGGTGTTCATACACCCACAGCTTGTGGGTTAAAGCCCTTGAGCTGTGATCTGTGGGAGCTGCCTGAGAGCAGAGCGGGTGACACCTGGGTGAGGGAGGTGGAGCGGTGCCTGCCGTGTCAGGGCAGGGGCGGGTGAAAGAGCCGACAGTTGTGATGCCATTGCAGCAGCAGAAGGCAACTCTTCTCCGCTTGAAACTGAGGAAACGCAATCGCGATACGAACCTGTGCGAGACGTGACTGACCAATAGTCCTGGCAGCTGCTGGGGACCGATGCTGGCCAGGAGGCAGCAAATAAGAAATCCGGGCAGTTTTATTCAAGCTGGTGTTGTTTCTGGGCCTGTCGCCGTCAAGTGCAGCCCTGTGGGTCCCCAGAAGGCCGGTAGCGATCAGCTTTTTGAGGGATCGTTGGCAAAAAGAGGCTCAAAATAACGGGGGTGACTGGGTACCGCCCGGGGGTGCACGTGTGTGTGTGAGCCCTGGTGGGGCCCGACGTGGGTGGCAGCGCTGGGGGCACCCCGGCGTGTGCTGGGGGGGAGCACTGTGTGTTGGGGGGCCCTCACGGTGTGTGTGGGGGCTCCCAAAACGCGGGG